TTATCGTGAGACCAATGTTCGTCAGACCGATTTTAGGACCGAAAAACAGACTGACCGGACTAACTAACATTATTAATTGGTCTTACAGGGATCGAAACCGACCAGGACGGACCGATCCATCACTACTTATTGTCCTCATTTTCTAATCTTCCATTGCACCTAATCGTAATGAATTAATTAATCTATACTGTACCTCAACTGTTTAGAAAAGAAATTTTGCTTTTGGCCTTTTTTTATTATAGCTTATAGCTCTAGCTTCTAGCTATTAGTTTCCGACTTCTGAAGTTAAATTTATATTTGATAAACAATACACTGTCGATCATAGTTTACTTAGATTTTTTAGTCGTCAAAATTTTTGGTTTTTTTACGGTCTGATAATATGATAATCTCTTATTATATCGAAAACCTCAACGAAAGCATCAGATGCTTTGCTGATCATTACTTATAGGAAATGGCTAAAGCCACGTACCTAGTAAAATTTTTTTTAGAATATTCCAGGACAAATCATGGAAGTATCCCTATCTCAAATTTTTGACTATGAAATTGTCTTTCGCACTCTAACAAAAATTGTTCCTTGCAAAATGTTACATATATTACGTATGTTATACACACTATACAACTATACGTACTGTACGTACTGTACACGAACAATTTAAAAAAAAGGGTACCGTACGAATTTTTCTATAGTACAGTTACGAAATATATATATACTCAAATGGCACATCACTATATGTACCCACGTGATTTTGTGGTTTAATTAAAATTAGGTTAGGGTTACTTGAGTGTTAGTGTAAGGGCAGTTGTATAGATAAAATTGCCTCCCCGACATTTTTTGTTAATGCTCCAAGACAGGTTTAGACTACTGTTTTTTATATTTTTGTGTTTTCTTTATTTCTGACTCCAAAATTCGCGTTGATTTACACAAAAAATCACGTGGGTGCATGGCTTTAGACGATCCAATATTTGGTAATATCCGAGGCTGCAATAATTTATACAGTAAGGGACAGCAAAAAACGTTCAATTTTTTTACATAATCAATTATGATTGGTCAATTTTTATATAATTTATTGTGATTGGTTAATAAGTTACATAGATAATTTTTTTTATACATAAACTTTAAAGTATTATAACTTTTTAATATGATAAATCAATAAAAACCTATTCTAACAGAATTGTAGCTTGAAAAAAAGCAACAAATCTGTAAGAAAGATTTTGCGAAAATATTCTGTACTTAAGTTACGTATAATAATTTTTTGTATCTAAATTTCTTAATTTTTAATAATGAGCATTAACCAATCAAATCACTAGCACGTAACTATATGATTGGTTAATTTCTTTAGCCAAATTTCTGCCTTCCTATTAAAATTACCAAACTTTGATTCCTTATAACTTTTGTAAAAAGCAAGATATTAAAAATTTGTCTTACAGATTTTGTAGTTTAATTTATAAATAATAAATCTATAAGAGGGATTTTTAAAATAATTATTTGTTATAAAGTTATTAGACATTAAACAACCGCTAAAAAATTGGATGTTTTTTGCTGCCCCGTACTTTAGTTATTGTATAGTTGTCTGACGAAATGAAAGCCCGATTTAATTTCAGATATACAATATGGAAAAATCGGACATTCATATCTAAACAATAATAGAAATTCTAGAATGTATTTTAGAATGTAACAAAACCTTAAAATGGAACTGCTATAATTTTTGTGGAAGGGAAAGAAATGAAAGAAAATTCGAAAGTGAATTAGTAACGATATGCGACTATACTATATTTAGCATCAAAGTTACACAGCTAGTGATCGCTAGAAAGCGGTTTGTTTTTTTTGCCTTGTGCACTGTTTACGGAATGCACTGCCTAATAATGGTAACAACTGACCATTAATATGAGAGATGTGGCTTTATGTTGAAGAATATATTAGGTACTATAGAATAAATATACAGTCAAACTTCCCTAAATGCAATTCGTAGGGACCGGACTTTTGATAGCTTGCATTTGGAGAATAATAAGAAAATTTACATTTATGGAAGTCTAGTATATATTTGGGCCAGAATTAAAGGTTGCATTTGAGAACTGACTTTATATGCTGTAAGTTTGAACGGCATTTGGAATTTCTTAGTATTTAGGATTAGGGTATAGGTTTATATCATATAATTCTACCTAAATTATAGTTTATTAAGAAATTCCAAATCCACTTAAATTCCATTCCACTTATAACATATCAATATGTTTAATATTTGATGTTGCACGATATATTATATGTGTGAAGCTTTTCTGTAATTTTTGTACAGATGATCATGGATTTCGTGCAATATCGTGGCTAGTATTCCGCGCAAGACATGGTCACATTGCCCTGATCTATATTCTAATTGGTTAATAGAGAATAGCAATAAATGAAGTTTTGATAAATTTCGAAAACAAAAAATTTCGGAAAATTACGAAAGATTTTTGACTGTTCTCGACTTATTGGATAATTTTAATCGAGTAAAAATAGGATTCTTATAAATATAACAAAATTTCGTAATAATATTTTCTTGATGTCATAGTATTAAATATTCCGGAGAATACTCCATAGTCTGAAACAAATAGCATAATTTCCGTGTCCTGACTTTGACCGTGCCACATAGTGCACCTATCACAAACTTATTTTACAATATTTTGTGATAAGTCAAAAATCTTGGCATCTAAAACAAGGCTGTCATTATAATTTATTATGAAAGAAATTGAAAAATTCGAAGTGTAGTGAAGAAGACTGGGACAATATGTGTAACTTAAAAGATTGAGCCACAAGTAATATGTTTACAAAAAATTGACTCCGGAAGAATATCAAAATGAATATAGTTCTAAATTATGCGTTAAAGTTATACAGTTAGTGATCACTAAAGACTAATAATTTTGCTTATTAACTTGTGTAACTATTACGAAATGCGGCGTGTTTAATAAGACAATTAGTTTACAATTTACAACTCTACAATTTTATTTTTAAAAGACGTGATTTTATAATAAATAATATTATAAGATAAAAAATATAAATATTGGGAGAAATTGTTTCTTGTTCGCTTTTTTTAACATAGCATATACATTGCTTTTACATTCATTGTTATATTTTTACTAGCAACATGGCGCAGCATCTTTTTATTTCGTCCGATTCCATTTATGATACCAATATCATCAAACGTGAAGATTTAAGTGATTTAAAATTGATTGACTGTGGAGGATTTGGAATTGTCTTTAAGGGAATATGCAACAAAGGAAAGGAGAATGAACAAGTTGTTGCAATAAAATATCTTACTCGTAAAGAGACACCGCAAGTGAAAAAAGATTTTTTTAGAGAGGTTAGTTGAGCTAATATATATGTTGTGCGTCAAATTAGAATCTGCATCAGGTTATAATTCCGCTAAGACCTAGCCTAGACACTCACCCTAACCCTAATAAAACTCCGCATTTAAATTTTGATTTGACGCAAATTTTAATCTGATGCACGACATATACATGAGAAGCAATAAAAATATTAATATAACTATCTAATCTATTTCAGATATACGCCTTAAGAAAATCTGTAAACTGCAAGGAACATATTATTCAATTTTTTGGTTTGTCTCAAGGTAAATTTCACTAACATAGTTTTAGGTAAATCGTTCGCGATGGTTACGTATGCACAGTTAATGGGAAAAGAAATTTTGAATCTGATTTATACCCGAGACATCGTCTTATATATTCAAGTAGACCACTGCACGACGTAGTCGCGCTAAACCAGGAATGTGATACACAAACATGCAGCATGGGATTTGTCCAACATTCTATCCAATCAGCTTTAAGATTTTGCCATCGGGTTATTCTTCAATTACATTCTGTTACATTCTGTTTCACTATATTCCTAGTACGTACGTACGGTGCAAGCAGGGCTAAAACGACACATAGTATACGGTGGCCATTTTCTGCGCCACTTCCTATTGTTTAAAGTATCTTTTTTGA